AAATATTGCAACGGATATGCGTTTAGACGCCGTGCAAATAATTATTGAGGTTTCCGAATGCCCGATAAGCCAAGGTGTGTTGAGCACTGGTCTTCTAACAAAAACAGTTAAAAATGAATCCTGGAAATACGAAGACAACCACGGCTCCAGAAAAGAATCAGATCACAAAATGGTCGGGCATACATTTCATTAAAGGAATCATTGCACCCATAAATTTCCAAGCCATACGTGAGCGTTTAACGAAAGCGTTTTGCAAACTTGCATAGTCATTGTGCGCACGCACTGCTTTGTATAACCCAAATAAGAAACATCCTAGGACATACGACCCAACCTATGCCGCCAAGGCATGCGGTAAATTATGAACAAAAATGAATTGCATGAGGCTTCATCGGTCTGAGGCAAAGACTATCTACTACATTATACCCTTCCCGATGTTGACACACGCAGTGACTGACCTGGTAACGTATCTTGGCCGATGATACTCTTTATTGAATGCTAGGTACATATCGTACAAGATTTTTTTCGTGGGAACCTCGTTTATTCCACGTTGCACTAAACCTGTTGGGTGTCTGGTCCATCACTTCAAGGTTTTGGCGGGAGGAATTTTTATGAGCTTGAATATTTCTGGTCACGCTGATAGCTTCTGGTCGGACCAGGCAGCGAATAGTGCGATATGCGGCGATCGAGATAGTTTGGTCTGCCCCATGTGCCAAACCACAGGCTGGCTTTATCTTCTTTTAGCGTTGCGGTCCCAACGCATTTGGAGTGGAGTGTCCAATATATATATATATATATATATATATATATATATATATATATATATATATATAGCTCTCTTTTGATTACGGTTTGACGCCTTTGGAAGAAATCGAATGAACAGGATTGGCCTTTCACCGACAAGCGCCTAATCCAATTGCGCTTCACAAGGTACTAACCTTTTAACATGTTAGATATCTGCGCTCGAGCCAACACGCTGTTAATGTCGAGCTTTGACGTATCATCAGCGGATGTCCTCCATACTGCTGTGCACCTGGAGCGGATGACGAGGCGCTGTGCTTCGCGCTCATAGCGCTGTGTGGTGGTGTGTTCGATCGTAGCAGCCGAACTGCTTGTCTGCTGTTCACCGCGTGTAGACCGCGTCCAATGTGGCCAACGGCACACCCCCGTGATGCATCATATTTGCATATGCCATACCAGCGTTCGTGGATGGCTGGGATGAATTGGGTGTTTTCAGTTTTGTGGGCCGTTTGAAGTGATGTGGTGTGCCGTTCCATGTTTTGCTCCGATCGCGTCGCTGGATGTACCAATGTGCTGGCACCGAGATGTCCCCAGCCAATAACGCACCAATCAAATGCATGGTACACGATGGCGTCCGTGTTGTGCTATTTGCACGGAAGTGTGATTGACGCCGTTGAGATATTCTATCACCGCCATGCTGCGCAGAGAAATCACACGGCTGATGATTTTGGTGATCGCTGCACTGCCAGTATTTTTTTTGAAGATTTTCTTTTTAGCTGAATACTTTTGGTAATCGCTGCACTGTTTGTATTTTATTTGACATTTTTTTAGCTGAAGTTTTTTTTGGTAATTGCTGCACTAACCGTTTTTTTAAAATAATTTTTAGATGAAGATTTTTAGTGATCGCTGCACTGTGCGCTGAAGCCAAACCAAATCTCAGCCGGCTGCCGGATATTGCCACCATGCTGACGTGGGGTTGATATTGCTTTTCTGAACTGCGTCACATGCCTGCTTTCTTGCTTAGCGTCCTTGAAACAAAGGAAGACTCAAAGTTTCCTATTCTTTAGATCACACTGATTGCCTCCATACATTGCTTTCTGATCTTCTTCCGTGTTAATGTACCACTGTCTGAGTTAATACATGTACTTGGGCGTCGAATTTTACTGCCGATTATTTGCAGAATTGTCCGGTGATATACAACAGAGTGAAGAATCTACAGGCCGGAGCTTAAGCTCACACCCTTGTGTATAGCTCAGCGATTTACATGCATTTTGGCCATCGCTACATGTGTGCAGGGGCCTTGAAGTCTCAAGGCTCAACCTGTCCGGCCATAAGGTCCCGTTTTTCCCAGGAATTAGTCTGATACCTACCCTCAAAATTTAGAGGTGGTGGCTCAAGTTTACACATTTTGTGAACCGGCGGGCAAAGGAAGAGCTCGCGTATTTCAAGTGAAAAAATTATTTTAGAGCTGTCTATTCAGGTGGTCACGGTATCACGCTATGGTCAGTGTAAATAATTTGTGATGATAGAACGATAAAAACGCCTGATTTTTTTAACTTTCAACGTCATATGTCGCTGAGTTGTTTACCGCGCGATGAAAATGAAAAATATTTGGATACAATTTGACGCATATGGTTTCCTTGCATGTTTCCCTCGCAGTGGTTCGCGACCGCATCTTTCAAGCTTCGATTCTTTTTTAACTATACCAGTGAACCTGATACCTTCATAATAATTAGCTCTTGACTGGTCAGTCTCTCAGTTGCGGTGAACCAGTCAGCAGGCGTCAGGGCGTGAGGATATTCTTGGCCTCCAACAAGGCCGCGGCCTGCAGTTGGCTGTCGTGTCGCCATACGCTCGACCAAATACCGGCGCGGGTAATGAAAAAGTTCAGCCGTGTTTCTGGAGTATGTTAGATTAGATGGGGTTGATGCCAAACAAACATCACTGGTGTGAAACCTGGGAAATTGATATGAAAGCATCGGCCTGATGGTCATTTTTTCCAGTCAGCGCGGTTTCGGAGTACTGGCAGCTGGCCATGACGTAGCACGAGCATCATGGCGCGCTTCTGTTTTGAACTCGTACCGGAAGACCGGCGTCAAGTGTGATAGCCAAGTGTCAATCATCTCATATGCCCACCGTTCAGCAGCCATAGCTCCAATGGAGGCATATGTAGTGAGCTTTTTAACGCACATTTTCAGCTGGATTGAGGTTCCTTATGCTACGGTGCGGCACACGCCGCGGTGTTTGGAGCACCGCGGACTTCCCGCCTCGCGTGTCCCGTGGACCAGCTCCACGCGGTCCTATGCTCGGCCCCTAACTGATGTATCACCAATTTATGGAGTCTTATTTCAAGTAGAAACTTGTCCAAAGCTTTATCTTAAGCAGAAACTTGTACAAAGCTTTATCGCAAGCGGAAACTTGTACCAAGCCTGATTTCAAGCAGAAACTTTTCTGCTAATTTGCATTCAGAATGAAGCCTGTCACCGGACAGGCATTTACCGAACTTTATAGTCGCAGATAACAGGTAAACACCCTAAAGTTGCAAAGTAGCCGAAAACTGTTCGGGACTTTTGACATAATGGTTTATAACTCCATCTATGTTATCGATGGCGGCCGGCTCCACGCGGCAGCGACGTGGTACGGAAACTGCCGCTAGGTCGCGGCCAGTTGGCCGCCCAGCTGACGTGGCGAGCCGAAGCCTGCGGACGTCACTTAGAGGCGTCAGCGAGCAGGCTTAGAGTTTCTGATTGGGCGCACTTGTAGGCGAAACTTGAACCTTTGTGGATATTAGCAACGGTGTTTTTGCACGCCAGCGCGCGCCGATGATCGGACAAGGCAAGCACGTTGCTGAAAAGCATAGCCCGTCCGTGTTCGGTTATTGGTTGAGCCAGAATTGTCCCCCAGCTCAATACTATTTTCGACGAGTTGAAATGTAAATGGCTTTCAAACTGAGGGCCGCAGAGTCGCAGCTTTGTGTTTGTATCATTGCTGAGACGCGTCAAAAGTAAATATGAATATGAAACAATTGTTTTTCATCACGGACTGCTTGGATAGCCTTGTTATAAAAATCAGGGGCGTATACAGAACTTTGCGAGGGGCACACCATTGTTTTGATCGAAAACACAGTTTAGTGAGCCAGAGGCGGGGAAAATATGCCGCATGACGTCAAGCAGTATCGTAGGTTCCCGATTTTGCTTTGCTTTTGCTTTGTTTTGTTTTTTGCTAATTTGGTGTATTCATCAGAATATCTTAGTATCAACAGTTCTTCACAGGAATTTTTGAATATGCAGTGAATCTGACAAGGGGGGAGGGTCACGTGCAGCTTTGTGAACATGCTGCTGTGAAAAACATGTCCAGCGAATGCTTTTATAAACGTCATAGAGCAAAAAGCGATCAAATTCTTGTCACCAAAATCGACTCGTTCGGAACAGTTTTTGGAATTGGACTAGTACATCCTTGGGTAGCAGCTAGTATATCCTTAAGCCAACTCAAAGGCTTTGTATGGGAGGCGGCATCGATTCGGTTGAATGAAGATCACGCACAGGACTGAGCCACATGCATCTTACGATAGCTCATCAAACACTGCCGAGAACTGAAGGTGGTGCCACGAGGACTGAGGGTGGTGCCACGAGGACTGAGGGTGGTGCCACGAGGACTGAGGGTGGTGCCACCGGAGAGATGGACCGACGACAACCTCAACAAAGACCATCCCCCTCGGCCATCCACAGGCCCAAACTATACCAATTTTATTCCGGAATACATCCGCCAGAATATTTTTTTTCTAATTTGTGTCAACTTGAATGTTGTTGAATAGAGTTGGAGATGTGACAAGTGAACGACCAGTTTGAGCGAGCTCTCCTGGTTTATCGGAAGTGTTATGTACATGCACTCGGGGGGAGGGGGAACGGAAGGTACCCAAGTTTGAGATTGCTCATGCGTTGGAGGTGATGTATTTTGCACAGGCACTCCGACTAGGTGTGGAGTAATGGAAGGGAATGGAGCATGAGAGCCTGGAATTACCATACCGCAGTAGGCGATCAAGAACTGAAACAGCTGCGCAAGGAGGTCGATTCTACTGAAATTCTACAGACATCGATGAGGTCATCTACGCCGCAGTACTGGACTGAGAATACGCATTGACCTATTCTTCCTGTCTGTCATTTGGTCTCCATTGTCTATCTTGTGCTGCGTGCTGGTAGGGCTTCAGCTCTGACCGACAGGACGACCGCATTGTTAAGCTTTAATTGCATTGTTTTCCGCAGGGTGTCACCATGATCGGCGCCATGCCAGCCATCGCTGTGCGGCACCAGCGGGGTCACCAGGCCAAGGCGGACGACAAGACCCGCCTGGGCAGGCCCAACACACTGCTCATCGACCACCGGCCAGGTCAGAGCCATGTTTGGGTCAGGTTAGGTCAGGTCAGGTCACCGGTCAGGTCAGGCGCGCAGCCAGGGCATGTCACGGATCAGGGACGGTCAGGCAGTCAGGGTCCTGGGTCCTGCAGTCAGGACGGGTCGTAGATCAAGTCGCCGCAGAGTGAGGATAGGTCATGGGCTAGGTCGGCCCTGGCCAGGGTGATTCACTAGCCACGTGAGACCCACAGAGTTTGACAGGTCAGGCCAGGTCATCCCCATAGCTGAGGCAGGCCACCCAAGGGTCATGTCGACTCACCAATCAGGGCAAACTATTAGCCATGTCCACGCAAGGGACAGATCAGGTAAGTCTAGCACTCAGGACGGTTCCCTAGCTGGACCATCCGCCAAGTCAAAACGGCGCTGTCTGTCGACCCTTCACTTCCAGCACCAACATCCTTGCAAAATACATACAAGAAATACATAAAGACAGTACAGATATATTCGAAAATGCGAAAAATATATACCCAAGTAAGTGTAATGATACAAATCATGGTAATGATGATTATACAAATGGCATATGGAAAATAACACTAATTAAGGTACCCAATGCCCTTCATTGGAGAGTTGAAAACAGCAGCGTAGGATCGTTCGAACAAGACGTGGCCGGTCCTCTCTTTAAAGCGAATGCTTCCTGGTCTTAAAATATTTAATGATTGAATTTTATGGCATTAGCAACTGATGGATAAGCTCTCACATGACATTTTAATGGTATTTAAATTAATTGTTTAAAATTTAAAGTACATGACTTAGCCTGGATAAGACGGTAGTATTAGCTTTATTTCTCGGAAAAACCCGGAGAATGGAAATATAGTTACGTTGATATTCCGCAACGTGCCTTTATCGAAACAATAGCAGGAGATCACCATGATCGGGGCTATTCTGCTATTGTTCCGATAAAGGCATGTTGCCGAAATATCGACATAACCATATCTCCACTCTCCTAGTTTTTCCGACGAATAAGGCCAATACTACCGTCTTGTCTATGTGAATAATGTCCCTCGCTAATGCACTGAACAACTTAAACGACTTAACTTTTGAGAAGCGCAGGGCACGCACCTCCCTTAGCGTACGCATACATGCGTGAGAAACGTGACAAGGCAAAACAGTGATATGCATGACAGTTCAATAGTACGATACTTCTTCTTAACACGTTCTTAACACGCTTAATACGATCCGGATAGTACGATACTTCTACTTAACACGCTCCGCCAGGGCGCACAGACGCTTCCAGAACCACAGCAAAAGTCTCACAGCACAATGCCTGTCTTGCTTCTTACTGCCCTAGCCGACTGCTGCGCGGTGTCCCGACCCCAGCACGACCAGCGCCGCCCCGCTCGGCTGACCTCTCCCGCCCCCTCCGGCAGGTCCGAGCGGCTCTGCGCTGTCGCCGTCTCGCCTCTCTACCACCGAGACACCGGGCGCCGCCGAGCCACAGCAGCCCTGCAGCTGGGACTGCGGCATGCTGTGCGGCAGGCTCTCGCTGCTGCACGTCATCGTCGTCCTCGTCCTGCTGGGGGTCAGAGCCGCGCGGGTCGCCACGGAGGACGTGGCTGACGAGGTTTCAGGGCGGCGTGGGTGGTCGCAGAAGAGGAAGTATATAACGGGGTTCAGAGCGGCGTGGGTCGCCACGGAGGAGGACGTGGATGACGAGGTTTCAGGGCGGCGTGGTTGGTCGCAGAAGAGGAAGTATATAACGGGGTTCAGAGCGGCGTGGGTCGCCACGGAGGAGGACGTGGATGACGAGGTTTCAGGGCGGCGTGGGTGGTCGCGGAAGAGGAAGTATATAACGGGGTTCAGAGCGGCGTGGGTCGCCACGGAGGAGGACGTGGATGACGAGGTTTCAGGGCGAAGTGGGTTGTTGCAGAAGAGAAAGTATATAACGGGGTCAGAACTGCGCGGGTCGCCAAGGAGGAGGACGTGGATGACGAGGTTTCAGGGCGGAGTGGGTTGTCGCAGAAGAGGAAGCAGATGACGGGGTTCAGGGCGGCGTGGGTCGCCACGGAGGAGGACGTGGATGACGAGGTTTCAGGGCGGAGTGGGTTGTCGCAGAAGAGGAAGTAGATAACGGGGCTCAGAGCGGCGTGGGTCGTCGCGGAGGAGGACATTCACGATTCTGGAAGGCTTACTACGAGAAATCAGTGTTAATGCTTTAAAACAATCCCAAAGGGGCAGTGCTGGTGTTATTTAAAACAGTTATAGCGTACGCTTTCCTGACGGCTTCTGGAGTGTGTGAATAACGTGCTTGGTGTGATGTGAACAGGGCTGTGTGAAGGACTGCAGTGCGCGTAGACAAAGGAGTAAACCAGGAAGGGATAGGCTATTATGTTAGTTTGTCCAGGGTTTGTGACTGAATAGTGATATCACGGGCTACTATGACATCAACCGGCTGTGGGCCTTGCTAATGATATTGTCATGATGATAATGATCACCATCAGCAGCAACAGCAACAGCGCCATCATCGTTCATCTCCATTACCTGCACCTGTCTGGTGATATTGCAGAGTGCAATGGCCGGTGAGCGATGTTGCTGCTGACGCCAGTGCCCGCTGCTGACAATGACCGCATCTGTCTACAGACCACTCTGCTGGTGGTCGGTCTGGTGCAGCTGGCGCCGGACGCCGCCGTCGGCTCCCACAAGCTGACCCTCATCTACACCGGCGCCGGCCTCCTGCTGCTCGGCTTCAGCTGTCTCGTCTGCATGTGTCTGTTCCAGGTAGGCTCGACCTCGTCTGACGCGTCCGCTGGCGTCGATGCCAAATGAGCTGGGATGTTTAGTCTGTTTGTGTATACCCCGCGAGTTCGCGCACACCGATCCGCCGCGCGGGCGAGACGGTCACGTCGAGTTGTGTTGTTGCGCAAACAGGACTCTGTGCTTGTTTTCCAGCCGCGGTACCTTTCCCGTCATATTAGCCAAGAATTCCATACGCCATGCAGAATTGATGTGACGATTGCTAGAGCTGAGTCGCCTAAGTGCAATCATTCTGTTTGATGGATGGTAATCACGAGTTTGAGCCTCCAAGCTGCCTTTCATTACACATTCATTGTGATAATCATGCGGTGTGATGCAATGGTTTTGTCGGTTTCCCTTCACAACGGGCAGCAATGTTTCCTGGGGGCTTTTTGTCGAGGGATCCAACGACATTCCGTGACGACGACGACCTGCCGGCTTTCAGAAGAGGCTTCAACACCGCGCGGCGGCGACAGATGGCAGCGGCGGCATCAAGGTTCAGGTCAAGAGCAGCAGCCCACCGCAGGACAGTGGGGAGAGTCCTAAAGTCTGACATAAGCATGCAGTGTGTGGCTGACGCGGTGACGCGGTGGACGCGTTCGGAAGTGCCCATCTGAGTATTGTTCTCGGCCGCGTGTTGCCCGCGAACGCTTTATGGGAGCCCAGTGAGGGCCGCGCGCTGCTGGGACGGGCTTCGAAAGCACGGCTGGACTGGCGGGCGGTGTGAAGTGGGCCGGCGAATCAGGACTGGTCGGGCTGGAGTCAGCTGATTGGCAAGCTCCGAATGCGGACGCATGGAGATGAGATTCACTGCTCTGTGTGATTTAACTTCATGACACTCTATCATTGGATCCGGCGGCGAGGGTTCTGAGAAATGATGCTTCACATTTTGATACTGATCCGGTTCGCAAATAAGTACACCTCGGTGAGTTTGTTACAGATATTTTTGCACGCTATTCATGTGAAAAGAGGCTCGCCTGGATGTATCTTGTCATGCGACCCACTGTGCTAAAAGCTCTCTTACCACTTGCGTTTTTTCAGTGACACCCCACGAAAAAGCTCTTAGTAGTTTTTCTGCCAGGACTTTGAACTTAGGAATGAAAAAAACACTGTTGCGTGTCATGGGAGACGAGCAAGGCAGGAGAACAGATGACCTGCTAAACCCTTTTTTACACCTTGCCCTTTCCAAGGCACCAAAATGTGATTTTTCTCATCATCGCTCACTCCGCAAGCGTCGTTTCTATGGTGTCCTGCCTACCAGTCCTTTCGTGATTTTAGTTGTAACTTTTTCATAACTGAATTTTCAATCAGAGCTGAGATGAAGTGCAAAATTCTAAATTGCCATTGCGGAGCTGCTATTTGCAGTCGTGTTGTCAGATCGCAGCGTACTCGTCGACTTAGTTATTCTTGGAGCCATGAGTACTTAATTGACACATGGCACTGAAGAAATAGTACGGACTGGAGTTAACAACCAGTGGTATAGATTAAGGAGATTTCGTCAAGTGGAGTTCGTTAGTGTTTAGATTTCCCCTCAAACCATACCGCTCAAGTGGCCGAGGATTTTCATGCTTAAAAGTGTATCGAAATATTTTGAAATTCCGCTTGGTGCACTTCCCATTCCTTTCGGCGTTCTGGGAATGCATATGCAATGCATAATGCATGCATAGGGAAACTATTTTTGTATAGAGATTAACGCAACTTCTTGTCTGCACTCAAGATGATATTGCCGTGAGGTATCCATCCCTTGGCTTCGGTAAAAGTACGGAGCATGCATGTATCCGGCGATTTAACGCCTGTTTTCCAAATAGAAAGCCAAGGAACTTAATTATAATCACATGGAAGAAATGCGCCCTTCTTTTTGCGCCAAGAATGGGTCAGTACAATGTTCTACAAAGAAGCTATTCTTCTCCGAAAAGAAATCGTGTTCGTAATTTTGCAGAGGAAAAGTAGAATTTACCCAATGCCCATAGCGCTGCACCATAGTTAAAGACATGCGCGGCGCTATCCATACTCTGAGTGTACGGATGCACCCTCTGAAAATTTATTTTCTAACACACATTGCTACATTAGACTGAACAAGTGTTGCAAGGTCGCTGAGGCACGGGGCTGGATCCAAATATCCTCAGAATCTGGCGTTTATCACGACAGCGTCGAGCGGCAAGGCATGCGCCCGAGCCGGTTTCAGAGTCCCTGGAATGTCATAAAACTCTGGGGGGAGGGGGAGAGGGGCGGTCGATGTCCCTAGCCGAAAAGGACCTTTTGAATTTTTCAAATTCGTCTTTTCCGTGCCCAACAAGTCTCAGGTTAAGCAGGCTGCGCATGCAGGGCTTCAAGTGCAAATATCTTTTTTAATTCTGATCGGGCTGTTGCGATATTTCGTCAGATAATGTTACACCTAGCCCAGCTATCTTAATGATCGATCCGGTCACATTTAGGTCAATTTAGGTCACATGTAGGTCAGGTCTTCTTAACTTCGGGTAATCTGTGAGCCCAGTCATCATTAGGTCGTCACATTTAGGACAATGTTTTAAATATCAGATCAGCTTTTAGGTCAGTCGAGATAATGTTCAGCTTAGATCAGGTCATCTCCAGGTAAGGTCAGGTCACCAAATACTGTGTGATCACATAATCCTGCCTGGAACGGGGTTTAATAAGGGTGTGTGTTAACACGAGTTTGTGGCCACTTTATTTCACCCCTAAAGCGATGCAAAGAATCATGCTATCTCTTTTATCGTCCCTGACCCGAAGCTGATTAAAATTTGAGTCGTTGAGCCGATTAATTGCCGCCAGTAGAGATAGCCGTCAGGGCAAGCGTCAAGCTAATCTCACAGTAGATCCTTATGCGAAGTCATAAAACGGTTTCTCGAACGACAATGCGATTAAAATTAGGACAAGTGATCCCATTGACTTTGGGTGAGTTATGACGATCATGGTCAAAAACTCATCACACTTCGACAGGACACTTTGGTGGATAGGGCAGCGTTTGGCTCTAATTTTGAATTCCTTTATAATGAAGACAATATGGCATGTTTACTTCGTTAAGGGCAGGAGAGGTCACTGACCAAAAATGGCCTTTGTGACCGCTTTGGTTTCAGCACTTTGGGGCATGATGGCAGCTCTCGACGACGAGTCTGGTTATAAGTCTAACATAATCGCGAAAGTTTTTTTCCGTTTCAACCATCTGAAGATCATATAAATTCGCTGGCACCAAAAAGGTCCTGATTGACCTTTTAGATTGAAAAATAGTTAGGTTAAAGTTAGTTGCGTAAAAAGATCGGGGTATACTATAAACCCTAACCGCGAATTTTAACTTTTTCGACCTAAGCCGACTAACTGATCACAACTTAATGATGTACAAAGCCAATGCAATCGAAATCACACAGAGCCTCTGTCAAGTTTTATTCTACAAATTTGATGTTTCCACCATCTTTCTTTTTCAGCTCTCAGAGTTTCATGCTGACCTCTAGGCAAGCGCTTCGTGTTCCTTCGGCCACCCGTGTGCCTGTGAGCATACAAAAAAGGAATGCTCCAAACTCTGACGGAAATGGGTCAACGAGAAAAATGAGTGCAAGAAAAGAACTATTTTCTGAGTGTTTGATCAGATTCGGCATAGTGTAGGAGGCTCAGAAATACGCCCTACTGTAAATTATCTAAAGCAATCGAAGGGTACAAAGAACTCTATGCAAGCCTTTGCCTATTTGGGTTTGATATGAATGAGAATGACACCGACCTTTCCCTCACCATACCCGATCATGGTGTGAGAAGTCTGAGCAAAGCTTGGTAGCATGTTATTAGCATATGAATAGTCATTTCACTACCTGCAACGCACAGTTGCGTAGGCAGCGCGGTGTGGCGGCCTCTAAAGCTCAGTACCTCAATCGACTCAATAAAGCGTGGGGTGCTCGAGATTCGAACACAAGCAAGCCACTCAACTAAGATGTGTGCTCACAGTTGGCTGCCCCAGTTCTGCCGGCTAAATATAATTGTAGTCGTAGCCGATAATGCAGCTGCTATTATTGTGGTGCTATGCTTTAATGGCGTTCATAGCAATTTACTGCACATAACTGTTACTCTGCTGATTGCAGCGGTATTCTTATACCATTTCAGAGGTTGGTGGGTAATGCCTGGGATACATTTGCCAATTTTGTTAAACGTGACTTTGTCGGCTACAGTGCTTCGTTGTGCGAGGCGTGCTACTCACTCGAATGAAACGAAAGTGGCGCACCAGGCACTAATGCTTGCGTTGTTTTAATCTGCATTCTCCCGCATATTCAACTTGTAATGGCAATGCACATTCCATATGTTACGGATCGCTGAGGTGTTCCCCGGCTGTGTGAAGACAAGGCGTCCGATGCTGCGTCCAGCTTCTGACGACATCCGACTGAAGAAGGGCCCTTGCCCTGCTGGCTTGCGTGCTATATCGTAACTAGTCAAGTCGTGTTGATGTTGCTCGCTTCTATTTTCATCCAAGGTTATCTGACAGCGATTGCTGCGCCCTATTGATCTGCACGCCTGTTGGTGCTTTTAGCTGTTGTCTTGCGTGTTTAGAACGGAATTCGAACAGTATATGTGCGCGCACCAAGTACTTCACAAATGTATGCACAATGCCAAATGTGTTGGTTGGTATACCTCTACTCCGTAATCCAATAAATGTGATGCATTACATAACGATGCGTGCTGGCGAAGCGGGAAACACTTTAAGTCCTCTCTTTTCCACTACACCACTAGGCGATTTAGATGAAAACGATTTTGTGACGCACATACATTGCAAGCATTTTGGAAGTTAGTCCCAGCAGATCAGTTGATTAGAACTTCTGTCTTTGGGTTCACCCAGTAAGATGGGTGGATCCAAACGGATGCACCCGTGGCGGGGTGGATTCGAGCCGCTCTAAACGCTCACTATTTGCCACGCGCAGGGATGGCCTGCGACCGGCGGCAGCGGCCGTTCTGAAGGTCAGATGGCGTTAGAGGGTCGGATGGACCGTGTAAACGCGCAGAGCTTCGCGGCACGTTGCAAATTCGCCACAAAATCATGCCGTCGACCACACTGCAAAAAAGTAATCTCACACTGTGCCATTTCCGCGTTATCTAGTGGCTTTGAGCGATGGTCAGCAAGCAGCGAAATGCTTCTTCAGGCTAGCAGTTCCTCGACTTAAAGTGCGACGTGGCTTGCGAAAGTGCTGTAACGGTGCTTGAACCCAGCACCTCCTGCTTTGCATGCTGAAGGAAAGCTCTGCGAAAGTGCTACAAAGGTACTTAACGGCATTATTTTTTGCTGTAATACGAATGCGCGGGACGTTTTAGCATGAAGTGGGTGCTCGAAGTCCTAAAACCTCCCTGATGGGTGCTAAAAGCTCGCCTGTTTGGGCTTTGGCGAGAAAACAACAGCACATTAGTGGTGCTGAATAGTCAGTCGTGGTGCGGTCCACCATTTTGTGACGCGTGAATTGACTTGAAACAGAGGCACGCTTGCTCGCGGTCGGTGTGGACCAAGGTGTGGGCTGTGGATGATAGGGGGCGCCGGCGGTGAGCAGCGTCTCCAACCAGGGTAGA